TTAGAAAATTTCTAGCAGTACTAGTGTAGAATCATAGAGGGGCAACTGCCCCGGTCTCCAAGTCCCTCGATATCCCTTTTCGGTCAAGTATTATCAGCCATATTTACCACATAAATTTGCCGTTTCTTCTCCGAATTTCCTTCCCGTTTTGCAGCATATAAACTTTATCCTACGTGCTTTTCTGGGGCTAATTCTACACTAATTTCGGCGTTTCTTGTGGCTATTTACAAGCAAAAACGATGCTTAATTCAAAGAAGAGTCGTTGTATATTTCAGTAAAAAGCAAATTCGTCAAAGAAAAACCAATGATATACAATTTTAGACTTTCAATTTCAGCACATCAAGCAATCATTTTAAAAAATAAATAAATAAAAAGCGGTACAATGATACTGAAAAAAACTACAAAAAATGATTTCAAGAAATCCCAGGATTATAATTTTATAAAAAAATTTCATGCTGACAAAAATACCAAGATCACCCGAGCTATCAATGTTAGTGATTTTGCTGACAAGCTATGCCAAATCATTCAATTCTGAGATGCTAAATTATTCACCAATAATCATGAAATTCAAAAAATTTTACAAAATACACAACATAAAATCACAAATCCCACAATAAGAAAGTAAACAAAATTGCCAATTTCTACAGTGACACTCGTTAATTTACGATTGCAGGTTTTTGCACCGGAACTTTGCGAAGATTCTATGGATTATTTTTCGCGAATTTCGCCGGAATTGTCACGATTCCGCGACAAATAGCATGCAGGAATTGAGAACGGTCCGTCGGTACGTTTTTCATACGTTTCAGTATTTTCAAAACGTTGTCGTTTTGGTGATAAGAAGGTTGAATTTTCGGATGTCGATGGGAATTGCTGCATCGCGTATTCGTCAATTTCCTGAAGAAGCATGGGAAATATGAGAAATATCAGAAATATCAGGTGTTCTATCCTTTCCCCCCTCTTCCCCCAAATAAAAAAAAGAAAAAAATATGACTCATCAAAACATTCTATACAAATACACTGCATTATTCTACAACTTTCATTTCATATTTTCAGAGGTTCCTCTTGTTAGTAATATACTTATCGTGATTTTTTCTTACCCATAGTAGTTTCAATAACGCAACTATTTATATTAAGCTCAAATTCATGCTAATTACCACAATCGTTGTACTGACGCGAAGCCCAATTGTGGTAATGGTAAAAAATGTATACGACTTAATGGACCGAAACATTTCTTACCATTATAATATATATTTTACAATACATTTCAAGTTTTTTTAATTAATTTCTTAACACCACTAGCTTCCTTTTTCCAACATTAAAATATTTTTATTTCCAGAGTGGCAACACTTGCTACGAGATGATGAGCCGCAATATCGAAGATGCGTATTTGCGTGACCAGAGACCACTATATATCATCAGGCAGGGAGGGATGGCCGGAAAAAACAACTCACCGCTACCTCCACATCATCGTCAGCTTTTCGAAATATCTCATCGAAAATTTGCATAATTTTTGTCTCGATTCGTTGCTCCATCGCCACAGCAGCACGGCTTACCGCTCGGGTGACCTCATTTCGGATTGTTTGCTGCACTTCGAACATTATTTGATTCTTCAGGGCAACCATCGCTGGTGAGAGCTCCACTGCAGGTTGGTCTACAGCAGGAGGAGGTTGATCTTCACAGCTGAAACGAAGCATCCCCACTCAGCAGTGCACGAATTTTTTGCATTTCAGTAACTTTCTCGACAAATAATATGCCCTTAACACGCTAAAAGAGGTTTTGAAATGTCGTTGATGTGTACCAAACATCAAAAACTTCTTTTTTTCTCCGATACTCCTGCTCCTGGGCTATGATGAGTTATCAATGGACTCGGAGCATAGGTGGATCCAGGGCGGACTTCTGGAGGGGGCGATGGCGAGGGGGGAAAGTGAGGATCCCGGGGGAGGGGACGAAGAGCCTCCTTCCACCCTGAAATCATGCAAAACTGGGAACAGAATTGCAACAATATTACTTAGAGTTACTTTAGGCTTTAGTTCACTTTGGTTTTTAGCTTTAGACTCGGGCTTTTGCTGCATTGGCGTCTGCACTGCTGGAAGAGGAGGTGTGAGGGCAGCGGGGAGGGCGGAGGAGGGAGGGCAAAGACCTATTGCTCTCCTCCCTGGAACCGTCTATAACTCGAAGAATAAAGCATCTATGAAGATGTAAGTTATGCAATTTTGTGTGTATGTGAACAAACCAGTTGTCCTGATTAACAACTGCTGCGTAATGAGCGATGTTGTTGCTTTCGTCTTCTTCTCCACTGAACTGATGCTCGTTCATGGCAGTAGCCAGAGATGCTTTCTTCTGCAGATCTTTCTGTCGTAGATATGAACTTCTCACACGATCCCATGGTGGGAAGAGCTTTTGCAACGAGGCGCCCACACTTTCAGCTCCAATTTCAGCTGCTTTACCTAATCCCTGAAAAAAAATGAGCGCTCCAACTGGGATACGAGCTATTGTAGTTGCACGTCAAAATAAAAACAGATAATGGATCAACCAGGAAAGCTGGCAGGCTGGAATAATAATATGAAATAACCAACAACAACAATAATAATATGAAATAATCTATGGAAAAAGTGAAAGAAATTACCTCCATGTGTGCTTCACGCGGGGTTTTTTCACCTTTTCGTATGCTCCGGCGACATTCTCGGTCCAGATTCTGCACCAAAATTGATTCCTCATTTTGTGGCTCACATTTGCGATGGTGCAATGGCTTATCAATGACTTCGCCAAATTCCGTTTTTACATACGCTTGTCTGTCTGGTCCATACATACGTTTCGCACGTGAGCAACCAAGACATCTGGAAATTTGTTAATTATTTATTCGGAATGAAGTACGAAGAATCGAGAAGCGTTTTGATAACGTCTTATCGCAGTTTTATCTTCTTCTCTGATGTTGTAATCTATCGCCCCTTCGTCATTTTGGTTTTCAAGGTCAACCTGGTTGCTACAATCTGCTTGAAAAATAAGACACGTTTTTTTTCCGGGCAATTTTGGCTATTTATCAGTGGTATTGCGGTGAGGACCAAAACAATGTGTGCGAAATTACAGGCATGGTACTGCCCCCTCTACATTCTAGGACAATCAAGTGCAAAAAAAAGCAAAATCAAAGGTTGCTCTTTGGCTGCATGCTTTTTGAAGGCTGAATCTAACGATGGT